CCCCCTTCAGGGTTGGGGGTCCCCATTGGGGTGCCTGGCCAGCCTGGGTCAGGGGCTGATGGCTGTTTGCAGGCTGGCCACGGCCCTGGCAACCCAGGCTCCCAGACCCTCCTTGAGCGGAGGCCACAGCAGCCGGAAGCAGGTATCTGGGGTTTATTTATCTTCTATAATTGAAACTTTGTAGCCTTGAGCGGAGCCCACAGCCAGCCAGGGCAGGCGGGAAGCTTGGCTTCCTCCATCGCCAGGGGCAACCCAAGCCTCCTGTTGGATCAAGCTCCATGGCCGCTGCCATCTTGGTTGGATTTGCATACTCGCTCCTGATTGGCTGGTGGGTGTGACTGTGCATGGCTTGTGGGTGTAGTGGAGGTACAGTCAATTTGCATGTTTCTCTTTTATTAGATAAGACAGATGTGCCTTTATAGAACTTAGGAGAGTGTTCTGTATGAGGTGGGCCTTCTCTAACTGCTATATCAGAATATCTGAACACTATTTCTTCCCATTCCTCTTCCCTAGAAAGCAGTTCTCTTCCTCTCCTGCTTAGAAAGAAACACATTTGACTCTCCTCCAACACCTCAATTTCCATCCAATATGTAGTGGGCCTAGGAGTCGGGGGAGAAACCTAGATAAGCATTCATATCGTAAGGCTCCCAAACAGGTCATAAGTAGAAATGCTAGGCCTTCAAGAGCATGACAACAGGAAAGCTCATTTATAGGAGCTTTCTTTTATAAAGAAAGGGGCATTTTTTCATTTTTTAAGTCCAACCTGGTAAGACTCTGACTTCATGTAACCAGTACTCTACCCATCATTCAAAAATAACAACAAAACAACAATTTGTTCCAGTGTTCTATCTACAACCTGACATTATCCCCAATAGTTGATTCAATAAACACAGGTTAAAAAAAATCACACTTTATCTCCTCTATGAAAAATCTAGAAATTGTGTCGATAGCAAATAGGTAGTAGCAAAAGTAGAAATGTAATTTTGTTCTTTGTAAGTATCTGTACAACATCCCTTCCCTCTGTTGTTTTCATTTACATGCAACATCCTTTATAGTATAAATCACTATAGAGACAGACAGACAGACAGACAGCTATGATGTGGTGCCAGAGAGCAGGGCTGCTCTATAATCTTGGGCAAGATACTGAATCATTCTGTGCCTTCATTTCCATGTCTGTGAAACAGATATGGTGATAGTACTTACCAAAAAAGGGTAATTATAAAGTAGGCTAATACAGATAAAGTATTTGAAACAGTCCTTGATGAGTACTCTAGTGCTAGCTATTACCATTATTATAGCAATTAAATGCTGTGACAAGTTTTAGTCACTATTTGCATTTTTTTACATTGTTTTTTGAAAATGTTTCTAATGGCTAACATCCCATGAACTCTTCTGCAGACCCACAAAATGAGAGAGGAAGAAATGTGTGTGTTGTTCAGACAAAAACATATAATTTGAAGATCTGTTTTATCTGACTTTCAGTCAGGCGTTTTAATTCTTTTGGATAAAAGTCTGTATTTTACACACACTTGTCAATAGTTCTTATTCTAGCTGCAGTCTTTTCAAACAGCATTAATGTACCAACTCTTACAACCTTTTTGTTCCCATATTCATTTAACAGTGAGAAGTAGAAAGCAGATGTAAGCAATACTCATTCTCTTGATTATTAGGAATAAAACCTTTCAACAAGCCCCAAAGACCAAGTACTTCCCGTTCAACACACAGTAACGACTGATCTATAACTGCTGTACAGTTTACAAATATGTAGTACTTGGATTTGAAATCCCAAACCCATTTCTCTACAACTCCCACACCCTCTTACTTCTCTATAACTCTTTAAGGGAGGAAGCTAAGAAATTCTGGTTCCTAAGGATACAAAAAGATCAACACAAGTAATCCCATACCGCTTCTTTCTGCATCTTTCTTCTCCTAGGTAGGTCATAGCTAAAGAAAGTTGCAAGGTGTCAATGGATCAGGCTGTCTAATCTCTCCTGGGTCTTCATTACTACCTGGCAATCACTTTCATTCACTTACAATGTATCCACCCTGACAGTACTGACAGCTTTAACAAACCTCCCTTACTTTCCCCATCCCTATATCCCCCACTACAATCCAGACACATATCTCTTCATTCTAGCAGTTTTCAACCTCAGTGAGGTAGTAAAAGCCACCTGAGAAAGCTTCTGTAAATGACAAACCTGCTCCTGTTGCTGCCTCCCTCTTACCCCAAAATTCTTATGCACCTGTTTTGAAGAACAAGCCAGAAACTCAGGGAGAGGCATATGTATTTGAAAAGGTGACTTCCTTGTGGGTAGAGACCTAATCTTATTCATTTCTATTCCTAGCACTTAACCAAGCGGGCTCTGAGAAAATGAATACCCAAACCAATGAAATCATTTATTAAAGTAACCAATCTCGTGACGTCTCCAAATGTCTGTCAGTTTACAGTCTGTAGTATTTTCACGATAGTGAGGTAATATGTTATAGTGGTTGAAAGCACAGACTCTGAAGACAAATTAGTGGGTTGGAATGTGAACTACACTGCAAAGCAGGAGCTCTGTAACTTTGGACAGAAGTTACTGAACCTCTCTGTGCTCCAACTTTCTCATCTGTAAAATAGGAGAGAATAAGAGTACCTACCACACAGGGTATTGTGAAAATAAAATATTAGTACATGTAAAGGGCTTAGAAGAGTGCTTAGAGTGGAGCAAACACTATATAAATGTGAGCTAATGTTTCTCTCTGAAGCCACATGCCTGAATTTGAGTCCTGTTTCTGATATGTACTTAAGTGTTAATGATCACAGGCAAATTACTTGATCTCACTGTGCCTGTTTCCCTATCTATAGAATGGGGATAATGATAGTATCTATTTCACTGGTTGTCATGAGAAATAAAAGAGGAAATATGCAACACATATAGCACAATGTCTTGTACATAAAGCACTCAATAAATGGTAGCTATTATCACCTCAGTCTCATGTGCATTTTGGCTGCTGAAGTTGGTTTGCTGTGGCCTGACTCTGGTGTATGTGTAGGTCCAATCAGTTAAGTTCCATCAGATGAGATCCTGACCAGCTCTAACCCTTTCCACAGATAAGGAGCTCTTAATCTAATGTCTATAGTGAGCTTTAAAAATTTTTTATTCAAAATTGGGTATAAAATATTGGGTGTGTATTTTTCTGAGACAAAGGGCCATAGCTTTCATTAGTTCCTCAATAAGTAAATGACCCTAAATAGATTTTTAAAAACAAAACAAAACCTATTGCCAATAACATTACCAGTACAATTTTCATCTTTTTTCTTCTCTTAAAACAATTTCTACACCTTCCCCTGAGTCTCTAAATCAAAGTTACAGCATTTTAAAAAGTCTCTCTGCAATGTGATTCTAGTATAATCCTTCTCATTTATAATACTGCCAGATTATTTCTTCAAAAGAACTATAATAGTACTTTCTCTGTGCAAAAACCTAAATACTGTCCAATATCCAATATCTCAGCTGAACATTCAAGCCTTTATAACTTGGCCATAGTCTACCTTTCCAGCCTTGTCCTCCATACATGGCCCTAAAGGAGTCACTTGCCACTGTAGAAATCCACATGGCTTTCCTCCATATCTCACTCTACTCTGTCTAGAATGTCTTCAACACCACTTTCTCCAGTAAACCAATACACTTCTTTAATAGTTACTGTCTTTAATAACAAATATATTTCATTCCCCCTGCTAAATAGTAAATTCTTTGAGGACAGGGACTATGGCCTTCTTTACTTTTATATTCTCAATTTTACCTAGTATCATAGTTTATAAATTTAGATAAATATTAGTTCTCTGGTAATCTTTTCAAAGTTACTAGACAGACATTTCAAGAATTTCTAGATATTCATGAAATTTGAAATACCAAATTTCAATCTGTTAACTAAAGCTTTTAAAAGGCAAAAACTGCTATGTCATAACATAATTTTCAACACACTGTAAGTTATAGTTGTGCCCTGAAGGACACAACTATGGTTACAGCATTATAAAGATTAAGTGGATAGCCCTAGTGATTTAGCTCAGTGGATAGAGCAGTGATGGCGAACCTTTTGAGCTCGGTGTGTCAGCATTTTGAAAAACCCTAACTTAACTCTGGTGCCATGT